TAGCTACTGGATTGGCAGACATGTCACAAACCAGGAGGCCTAAAGAATGTCCCATCTCCCCACAGGCTCTAGAACAGCTGAATCTGTGTTGCAATTTGGGTCCAAACTGCCCAGGACTGGAAGGGAAAGTCACCCTGCTTGAGACTGAGGGAGTTCCTGGGACCTGGGAACTTCAGTGCAAAAATGTGGAAAATCCGAGCATACCAGGAAAGGTTTGTCATCCTAACACCTGGTCATGAGCAGTAAGCAGGACAGAGGACAGGCTGAAGTGACATTGCGCTGATGCAGGGAGCTGGAGAAAACACCACGTGACTCTTGACCTTTAGGTGTGTTAACCCATCCACTAGTACAACATGACCCAATAAGTGTCTTAAGGCTCTACTGATAGAAAAATGTGTCCCCCTTGTGTAAATGGACAAGAGAAAGCGGGAGTGCTTATCCCTCCCTCATCAGCAGAGAGAGATGTGGGAAGAAGAGCTAGAAGCATTTGCCTCCCACCCGAGAGCCACAGAAGGAAGCACAGGCTCTTCTCCAGCTCCAGCCCTCCTTAGGGAAGGGTCCGGTCTAGAGGGAATGACCCTTGAGTGAGCCATGAACAGTGAGGCGCCTCCCATTGTAGAAGGCGTTAGAGACCAGGATTGTGGGAAAGCTCTGGAGTCCTGAGAGGATTATTGAATTTCTGTTAGTCTGTTTTCTCAACTCTAAAAGGAGACAATAACCACGTCATAGCCTTGCTGTAAGGATTACACAGAACACTGTATGTGATGAAGTTGCTCTAATATCTTGACACACAGGTACTCAGTAAATGAGAGTTGTTATTTTTAATGTTTTATCATTATTTTCGACATGGATCTGTATCCTGATTGTGAGATTAAGACGGAGCAGTTTTATTTGTATAAATGTCTCTGGTTCAAGTCAAAATTACATCCTGGGTTGTGACACTTGATACAATGCTTGGTTTGAAAAGCAGACAATTAACTTCTAAGAGGCATGGTTACAGTTCAGGCAGCCACCACCAGGGGACTTCGTTGCCCGATGACAAAATAAATAAATAAATAAATAAATAAATAAATAAATAAAACTAAACATGAGAAGGCATGAAGTCGTAAACTGGAAAGTACACAGAGCATACTCATCACTCTGTAAACCTTTGCACAAAATATGCTTTAAAACCTTATCTTTCTAGTTACTTTTCCACGATTAACTGCCCTAACTCACGCCCCTTTATCTTGCCACATTTTCACAATTTACTACCCTTTGTCCAACTTAGTCTGTAAGTGTTTGGCTCTATTTCTTTAGATCTTCCTTTTTCTTCTTCCCTTGTACGTGTTTTTTTGTTTTTTGTGTTTTAACCTATTTCAATTTGTGTTTTTCTCTTGTTAATTTGTCTTTTTCTTTTTTTTTTTATTCAAGTGAGTATAGTCTTGGCTTCAGGAGTAGAACCCAGTGATTCACTCATCTCTTACATATGACACCCAGTACTCATCCCGAAAAATGCCCTCCTGAATGGCCATCACCCACACCACCCACCTCCCCTCTAGTAGCCTTGAATTTGTTCTGGAGCTCCAGCCAAGAACTCAAGACAAGTAGAGGAAAACCTCGTCCTGCCCGCCACTATAATAGGCAAATGTTCATGGTCCACTGAAAAGACTTGATTCTAATGAAAGTAAATAGAAAACCAGCTCAATATTATTCTATTGAAAAATCGATCAAGAAATTAAACTGGTTTGATTGAATCTGCTCAGAAAAGTACTTTTTTCCCTTTCTTATTTAAAATGTTAAATTTACATAAATTTATGTATTGTTATATAAATTTAAAAATACATTCCCATTATAAGCAACTGGAACAGGACAGGGATATAAGCCTCCCCTCCCCTTCTCTGATTTCCATTTCCCACTCCTATTATCAATTTTAGGCTTTTTTTCATAAAACATTTTCTTTTCTTTTTTTAAAAGTGTTTATTTATATATTTGGGGGGGGGGTAGTGCATGAGCAAGCATGAGCCAGGGAGGGGCAGAGAGAGGGGAAGAGAAAATCCCAAGCAGGCTCTGTGCTGTCTGCACATAGCCCCACACTGGGGCTAGATCCCACATACTGTGAGATCATGACCTGAGCCGAAATCAAGAATCGGAGGCGCAACAGACTGAGCGACCCAGGTGCCCCTCATAAAGCATTTTCTAGAAAAAAATTCATCAACACTAGTATACTTCTCATTAAGATGCTTATATTTAACAGAACGAAGTCAAAACTTCCTCCACATTGTAAAGCAGGTGCATGTTAAGGCCACACAGCGGGGCCACATGTGTTGTCCCTAGTAACTGCCTCAGTTTATTCTGTCACCGCTCGCCCTTAAGTGCTGTTACATCTTCGAATCATCTTCCACTTTCCCGCTGTGTCCTTTCTCATCAGCATTTATCAAGTCCCTGTCCTGGGCGGCACACTTTGCCTGAACACACTCCCTTCCTTACATGAGGGAGAAGGCCACACAGGCAGAAATGAGCACAGCAAGACCAGCTGTAATGGGTGCGGACGGGGAGCCGTTATAAATATTCAACTGTGTATATATTTAAGTTTAGAACACATTTTCTGTTAGGAACAATGCTGATCTAAGCCATTCTGGGCCAGCATCACCAGGAACCCTGGGCCACGCTGCAGCTCAGGGGAATGGGACCTTCTGCAGGACTGGTGGGGGGCGGGGGGGGGGGCCCAGGGGCCCTCAGGGGTTTCTGGAC